TGTGTGTGTGTGTGTGTGTGTGTGTGTGTGTGTGTGTGTGTGTGTGTGTGTGTGTGTGTGTGTGTGTGTGCATATAGCATGTATTGTATGTTACGTATATGTACACTTTTGAGAGCAGGTAACAGAATTTCATTTTTAATTTGTGCCAGTGTGCCCACAGTAAAAAAAAATGACTTGAAGGTTATCTATCTATAATGTCCCAACACAAATCCAGCTTTTTGTATTTGCATTCTAACGTTGCATGGAGGTAAATAAATCTCATAGCATGTATTGTGTTTTTGCAACATAAGTTTCATCATTTTCCCTTTTTGTGTGAACCACAAGATTCTAACACTTAGCATTAGTATTCTAAGATTCCAAAACTGCAGACTGGCACTGCTGCAGAGAAATAATATATTGGTAAAATTGCAGATTGAATTAGTTAGATATCTTTAATTTCAGCCTATAATGTCTTGACTCAAGTTTTAACACTTCGATACAGTTTTTAATCAAGGCTTAATTTCCCCCAAAAAACTTGACTGTCTCAAAAGAAGACACTGAGCTAATCTGAAAAGAACAAGCTTTTGTGTTATCCTTGTTTCCCATGCTAAACATGCTCAGCACTAGAACATTTGATACTTCAATAGTTGTAGAGATCAAATATATTTATCAGGCTTCTCTCTTCTATCATCTTACAGGTCTTGTAGAAATTTGCCTGATGCATCCCCTCGATGTGGTGAAAACCAGGTAAGGTTCTGCTTGAACAAGTTTTATTGACATTGGAAGGCATCCAAATTGGAAGCTGTCAGAATTCAAAACGCTCAAACTTGTCCAACTAAGATAACTTCTCCCTTTAATGGCATTTATATTTACTTAATCTTTTTCATAGTGCTTGACAGGCAGAATTTAAATGGCATGATGCATTTCTGCTCGGAGGTCATCTGGAGGTGCTAAATACCTCTTTATAAAATGCACTCTTCATGTGACAGCCTGAGATCCTTTTTGTTAAAAAAAAATGGAGGAGGGGCCCCATAGAAAGGTGTTTGTGTGTGTGTGTGTGTGTGTTCCTCTGCATTGTATATATCATCTGAGGTACTGTTTTGACTTGAAGCTGGAAATGACATATTGTTTTAGAAATAAAATAATATTGATCGCAGATGTGGCCTGACACAGCCAGTCATGTTCTAAAAAGTCATCCAAAAGTATTCTTTCAATCTCTGTTTGCATATGGGAGTTGGGTAGTTTCATGGTAGCCACCTTCAGGAAAGTTCAGAGATTAATAGATAGAAAGTATGACTTGTTCAATTGCTTTTAAAAATACTAACATGTTTAGTGCTAGCATTGTGGTTATCATCATCATCATTATCATCACCACCACCATCATCATAATCATCATCATCATCATCCTCAAAATGTAGATCTTCCAGATTCTGTTTCTAAAAAAATCACATCCAGTCAGCATAAGAACACTGCACCTGACTCATTTTGGAAAAGCTGCTGGGATTTTTATTTCTGCCTTTTGCAAAATAAAAGTTACAATATGTTAAGATTTTGATTTATTTATTTAGTTAGTTTGTTGTTAGACTTACATCATACTTTACTTCGCAAGCTCAAGGCAACTTAAACTGTGCTTAGTGTAGTTAACTGAGGGGCAGAAAGCTTCTGTGACTGAGGGTAGACTTGAACCTGGACCTCCCTAGTGCTAGTTCAGTCCTTTAACTCCTATCCCACAGTGGCTATCACAAATTTTGCATCCTGGATATTTGAAATTAGAAATTTGGAGAAATTTAACCCACTATATCTTTGCATGTTTGCATGGTTTCCTATTTGCAGCAAGCTGTAAGTTGTTTTAACATTTTATAGGAGCCACAGTGGCGTTGTGGTTAAAATGCAGCATTGCAGGCTAACTCTGCTACTGCCAGGAGTTTAATTCTGAACGGCTCAGCCTTCAATCCTTCTGAGGTTAGTTGGGGGCAATATGTTGACTCATAACCACTTAGAAAGTTCCGTAAAGCATATGAAGCAGCATAGAAATGCAAGTGCTATTGCTATAACAAAATATATTAGCTTGGTTCAATTTTGTGCTAAGTCCAAAGTAAACAATGCATATCCTGGTTGATTATTTATTTATTTGATTTCTATAGCCATCCATATCAACAAGAGACTGCTGAATTACATTTGTAAAATTAAAAGAGTACAAAATAAATATATATGGCACATCTCTTTGGATGTAATTCAGCCAGTCACTTCACTGTGACTGTGTCTAGAACTATTTGTGCAGTTAAGTGTCATGAAGTTTTCCGAAGAAGAAAAGTACAGGAAATTTATATGAAACCAAAAATGCAGAATTTGTGAAGATTGATTGATATATATAAATGTATTGATATATAACTAAAGAAAAAAATCATAACTTTTGAACAAATCTTTATTATCCATAATTAGGAATTTCTATTTGTCATGTGCAATGCATTTCAAAATTGCATCACTGACATTTAATTTGACCCATTTGTTGGACAAAGGCAAAGTCAACTGTAATTAAGAAAATCTGTTTACAGCAAAAGGAGGTCCAAGATTTGTAGAAGAGATGGGAAGGCTCACATAGGAGCATTGTTGTCAAAAAATATGAAAGAAACAAGTGTAGAATATATTTGACAACAGTGCTTGTGAGCCGAGTTGATTCTCTTTTTCTCAGAAGAATGAGAAAAATATTGGTAGCTATCTTGATCATTTTTCGAAATATTGTGATACATTGAAAGATCTATGCTAAGTACAAAATTAGAAGTTTCTCCTTCATCAAAGAATACATTTAGTGTTCTGAAAGCATTTTATTTAGAAATGTGTAAGAGCGTACATTTAGAAGTGTTGTGGCCCAGCAGGAACTGCAAACAGACTCCGACAGCAAGGGGCCCTATGAGTCGGCTTTGGAAGATATGGAGGACCCTGGACAGATTTCCGACTCCAAGCAGGGACCAGAGAGGCTAGTTGACCACCAGGGGGTGCCTGAGGCATGGAGCAGCAGTGAAAGCCAAAGGGAGTGTGCACATGACGTCAGGCTTTGGAGCAATGGGAAGGAGACAAGGGAGTTGGTCCTGGATGCCAGGCAATGGCAGCTTGATAGAGAACAACTACGCAGATACCGAAGATAATTGGACCCAGGTGGTTGTAATTAGGCTCCTCTCAAGAGAGTATATAAGGAGAGATTTTGGGAGGAGACTGTTTGCAGGATTCAACTTCATTACCAACGCTGGAGAAGCTCTTGTGTATATTTCTTATCTTTGAAGTCTGGATTGCTGCCAAGGTCTTGTCAGTGTGTTGATTTACTGTGAATAAATCGTCTAGCAGTATTCTTGTCTTGGAGTGCCTTGGTGTACAGAGAGGGGTGTCAGAACATAGAAGTATGAATTTTTAAAACATATTTGCCCCACGTGTAGATTTTAACATGCATATTAATGAAGAAAATCAGTGAAAAAACATGATACAGTTCTGTCCATCCTTGTTTGGGAATGTTCTATTTTAATCAGTTTACAGTTCTGAGTATTCCTAGAATTATGTCCTGGAAATGAAGGCTATAGCAGCAATCAGAAAAGTTCTCCAGCTCTATCTTTTATTCCTGCACATGTGAAAGAGGAGTGTCAGGAAGACAGAATACCAGATTTCCAAATCTTCAATCAGATAGGTCAATATTTGGGCCCTAGCTTAGTGTAGAGTATGTGGTTTATACCAAATGGTTCCAAATTCAGACTCCATTTGAAGAATGATGGAAAAGATTCTTTGAGAGAAAGTGGCAGGCCAATGAAGACTCTGTAAACAAGGCTGAGCTAGACAGATCAATGATCAGATAGAAGGCAAATGTTGTCAGCCATCATTTCTGAGCTTAGCATTAAATCATTGATCTCCTGATATTTCTCCTGTAAGTTCAGTTCTTGTCTTGACTTTGCAGAAAACTCACAGTGCAGCTCAGTAAGATTAAAATCATTTTTACAATCAAGAGTGAAGCCTTTCCCAAAATTGATGTCAGGATTTTTTCAGAGTTCTAAAGTTTTCAACTTTAGACTTTGTTCTGCTGTTCTGAATTAATGGCTACATTGGTGGCCTCGAACTGAGGTAGTTTTGACTTGCCTACTTAATGGCTACCACTGATTCCCACCAGGCAACCTTTTATCTCTACATTCATTTAAGGACATGGGCTTTGCTTTTTAAATATAAGAGAGCCGTGATACATTCAGCCCTCCAATCTGAATTAGAAATAAGAAATAGAAGTAGATGTTTCCAGGAAGAATGTCACATGATTTTGTTCTCTGAGTAGCTTGACTCATACTACAGATGAGAAATGTTTTGAGTTGAAAAATATCATAAGGATTAAAAATTAGAGTGTGCAAAAATATAATCATTGAGTAACATCAACCGGAAGGTACAGTATCCTTCTCTGTATACTCCAACCACATCACATAGATGCAGCGAACATTCCTGAATTTAGGAGAGATGTTGATGTCTCACATTGGATCATACAGCTTGCTATTTATTGCCTATTAGTTAAAACAATACTTTTCTTTGATTGTATGAAATGCAAGCATGAAATGCTTGGTAAGGGCCATTTCTAGTGAAAAAATTATTTCACATTTCTCTATTAGCTATTCTTTTCCAATTAATGTTTGTGACTAATTTCTGATGGTTTGGACTTATTAGAACTGCTCTGTTTCCTATGTATGTTTCTGATATCTTTCCAGCTTTTGTTTTTTAAAGTGTCTTTTCCTTTTATTTTATTAATTTTCTTTCCATTTGTATTTGGGTAAGCACTGCTGAAATCTATTCTGAAATATTCCATTTGAAGATTATGCTTACTGTCTGGGGTCCTGTGTTTATATATCTGACTTCACAATTTTTTCTATTGACTTTTTGTACATTTTATTTGTTTGTTTGTTTATTGTTTATTGTATGGCATCTACAGAGGCCATGCAATTTGTGGTTGCCATGCTAGCTCAGGAATTCTGGGAGTTGAAGTTTACAGGTCATAAAGGAGCCAGAGTTCCCCACCCCAGATTTAAACTCATATGTCCAGTAGCAAAAGGGGTGCTCTAAATAATTTATTAGCAGCATAAAGGATTCCTTTCCTCCTACACACTTGCAGTATTACTTCCTTATTGAAAAAATATCATACTGGCATAGCATATGTTGATTGCTCATGTATCAGTTCTCTGTGGCTAAGGCAGAAAAGAAAGTTGCTTGAAATGTGAAATACATTTGCTTGCCCTGGAAAAAGCTGCAGCTGATTAACACTATTCTCATGCCAGATAGGATAGTTGCAGACTTTATTATGGAAAGTTGTTTCTTAAGATACTTTTTAAAATATTGTATTTAATAATAAGGCACTAGACTGCATTTTCAGTTATATATTTGATGGGGAGGAATTCACCTGCGGGTAGCCTTCATATATAAGGGGTGGGAACAGGGGTAGGCTTCAAGCATTTCAGCAACGGGTTCTCTGTCCGGTTGCTGGGTGGGCATGGCCATGGTAGGTGTGGCCTAGTTGGCCTCTTGCACCATAGTGGGGGGGGGTGTATGTTTTCGCCTTCTCCAGGCTTTGGAGGTCCTCCTGAGGCTGGAAATGGGCCCATTTCTGGCCTTCTGGAACTTCTGGGAGGCCTGTTTTTCCCCTTCCCCAAGCCTCCACGTGGCCCCTGCACTTACCTTGCATCCAAAACGGGCCACATGGAGACTCCTGGGAGTGGCGGGCTGGGGTGGTAGGG